TCTCATGGCTGGGGATGAATGGATGTGCAGTTCAAGACATTTGGAAAGCACCCAGTTAGGGAAGGCTGCCATACTCATTTTTCCTAAACTAAAAAGACCCAGACACTTCGGCCTTTCCTCACAGGGAAAGCGCTCTCAACCTTTCCAGCAGTATGATATCCTTTGGAAGATGTGATGGCCAAAATGATACATTACTCTGGGTAGTGTCCCCTGGTGTAGTGGTTCCCAGCCTGTTTTCACTTGCGTATCTCTTGGCAGCCCATTTCCATAAATGTACCCTTCATATTAGCAAAGCGTTTGTAATTCATATAGTTGCTGTTATTTCAAATGTATATGTTGCAACTGTAACTATATGTTGCAACTCAAATTTGTATGTTGCAAATAGCCCGATAATGGGGTTAAAAGGCAATGGAATAATAAAGTGAACGGACAGTGCGCACGCACACACACACACACACACACACACACACACATATTTACATTTGAAAATCAAAAGAGTTTTCCACCATGATTCAATTTTTATCCTTAAATGTCCTGGTTCATACCTACTCTTGGGGGTGTGTGTACCCCAGGATGGGAATCAATTGATGTATGTCAGGCCTCTTCTCTGCCAGCCTTTGAAAGAGCCGTCAAGAGTCGTGTGTTTCTTATCTGTTTTCATTTGATTGCTGGATATGTGATGTGGTTTTAGCTGTAATTCTTCCTTGGATTTTAGTGTTTTTACAGGGCTGGATGCTTCTGTGCTAATGTTACAGCTGCTTTTTTTCATGATTAATTTTAGCATTGTGGTTTTATGGCTTTCAGAATGTATAGTTGTATATTCATTTGGTGGAAGCCACCTTAGTGGGGTATGATGCCTAGAAGGCAACATGCAAATATTTAAAGTAAAATAAATGGTATCTGAGCTGAGGCTTTCAGAAGAGGCCAAGACTGTATTGTACAGAACAGAATCAAGGCAGCATTGTGGAAAAGGGAGGTGGCCATTCGGCCGGAGGCAGCGTCCCAGCTAGTGCTGGTCTTTAGTGGCCAAACGTAGAGGAGGAGTGGAAGATAAGGATGTTGTTGACCTTTCCCCTCTGGTCTGGTTCCACTTTGGAGAGGCAGACTAAGGTTTCCTTCCATCCACTCTTGGGTCATCACTGTGATGCTCCTGCTGCATTCAAACCACCAGCACACTTTTCCTGCTGGAAATATAGACAATTGCAAGGCTATTTTCTAAATGTTTAATTCTCCACATGGGGCTTGCATGAAAGGAATATTTCTGATTATTGCAATATCTTGCAGATGTCTAGCAGAGGTCTACTCAACACTGGGGCTAGAAGCTGAGCTCTGGTCTAGAGTATTGGCTGATTGCAGGATATATTGCTGGCAGAACAGGGCCAGCAATATATCCTGCAAACTGTGGTACCTTTGGTCTGATTGCTTGAAAAGAACTCATGTTATTATTTTTTAAATAGGAATAATTTCCAAAGCTCATTCCTTGCAGTGCCATGAAGCTGAGTAATGGGAAGCAAATGGACACCCACTTCAGACTGGAGAATTCCCTGGCCCAGAGTGGATGGCTGCTAAAAGAGCGATAAGGATGCTTAGGAATTTGAAATTTGTTTCCAACTGAGATCCAGATGTTACTAGTGGCATCCAAATGCTAATATTTCCTCCTCGTTCCTCTTATTTGAATGCTTGGCTCAGTCTTACTAGAGAGTAGGACACTGGTCCACTTTCTTGGAATACACTTTTGTTGCTGAGGAGCCAGTGCCAAAGCAGGCATTCTTATAATTGGCAACTTTTAGTGGGCTGCACTGATTCTTTACCAAAATGTGGATCTTTTTCTTGAAGCTTTCCAGCCACCTTCCTCTAACGTTCCTTTTAGCAAGGAAGAGCATTTGGTCAAATTACCCTCCAGTTTACTGCCATATGAGGGTCAGCCAGAAAACCTTTACAGAAGTATTTAACTATGCAGTAGTTTTTGGAACAGGACTGTGTGTGTGGTCTTTTTTTCCTTCTCAGTTCCTGCCTGTTTTGCTTTATTTCTCCCTCAAGATTTTCCTGGCAATATTTTATCAGTACATGTCTGTAGGGTTGTGACAGATTATATTTTGTATGGGAAAACGTTCCACTTGAGTTGTTTTTCTGCATGATGTTGAGAAGCAAATGGTGTCCCCCACTCAGTCAAGTCATTCATTGAGCATCCAAAGCCGCTCAAGTCATTTTGGCACTAGAATTGGCTGATCCCACATGAACTTTGTCCTGTCGGGCACAGTAACAGCGCAGCAACGATAATTTAAATAGCTAATGATTTTCTGCCCTTTTGGACTCTCTAACATCATTTGGCTTGAGGCATTGCTAGATCCTAAGAAGACTTGGAGGCTTGAGGGTGTTACGTTTTTATTCTCTTGGGAGCTTAAGGTGACATACAAGGTTCCTTTCTTATCTTTCCTCACAACAGTCCTGTGAGGTAGCTTAGCAAGCTGATTCCTGTGTCAGTGGGGCTACTCACCCATTGCAGCTTGTCTTTTGAGCTGTAGAGAAGCGGTAGAGCTTTATCCATGGTGCTGAATACCATCACCAAAATAGATCCCCCGGCATGGAGCAACTTGCATCGCTCCTCTGAAGCTAAAAGGAAAAGTTGCAATGGATGCGGAGCCCCGTGGATACAGGAGTCAGCAACTCTCCCCTGCAGGCTAAATTAACGGCTAAACCCAGCAGGCTCAACCCAGTGAATGAGAAAGATATGAATACAAAGAGAAATCTCCAGGTGCAAGTCCAACATTTCAACCCCTCCACCACAGTGCAGGAGGGGGACTTAATAATGCAAAATTCTTTCACTTGAACAAGACAAGAACAAGTTCACGTCCAGAAGCCACAACTTTTTAATTGCACATTCAGTCTGCTGGAACCCCTGCACACTCTGTTCTCGTGTCTCCTTGCACTCACAGACCCCTTGTTGGCTCACGTGCATCCATTTTGCAAGAACAACAGAGGAAATTTACTAAATCCATATGCATAGTTCTCTGTCTGCATAGCATGCATAGTTCTCTGTCTCTCCAATACCCTTTTTTATTCCAACATCAACTTGGTAATGGAGCTTAGGCTAAGAGATTGTGATGGGTCTATGACCATGATGGCTTAACCTGTTTCTCAGACCTGGACGGAACAGTCTGCCTCCATCTTGTTCCATTTCCTCTGTGCTCAGTGATAAGTCTGATCCATTTTCTGCTAACCTTTTAAAAATACACATGGACATTTAAATTATATGTACCTTCCTCTTAAAATATGCATTTTGCAAAATCCAGTGAGAAGTGTGCAGCCCAAAGGATAACTGCATTCTGATCTGATTAGTCTGAGAAATACCAGTTAGGTTGGTCTACTTCAAAATGTGGAATTAATTAAATTTTCCCACCTCTTTACTCAGACCCAGATCCTAGTCCAATAATCTAACACAGGCGTGTAGAACCTCAGGCTTGAAGGCTGAATAAGGCCCCTCTGGGTTGCTCATCCTGGCCATGAGGATTCCCAGGTGCCCGTGCCCCTTTGTCCTCAACCACCCATCATTTACTGATTTCTTGGCTTTTATACAGCATTTCCCCCATTTTAAAAAGTTGCATGTCTTTTCTAAGGCTTACTTACAGGCAGTAAGAGCTTTCCACAAAAGCTTGCTGGCAACTTGTCTTTGGCCCTACCCATGGCGGGAATGTGTCTGCTGGGAACTTCTCTGAAATGGAATTCAGCCCTTGGGCAGAAAAGTCATTAGTGCTCTAACCACTACACCTCACTGGCAAATCTGTACTGGCATATTAAGAAGGTAGTCCTGAAGGGAAGAGGAGGTGTTGAGAGAGGGGAAAAGCATCCCCTATACATGACTCTCCCCTTGAGGCAGAATTGGGCACTGATGCCTACTAATCCCTCACCCTACCATGGGGTGGTCGTCTCCTCCATCATCAGAAGGGAGGCAGGAGAGTCTGCTCCATCGCCGTTTCTTCCTCCCGCACCCTTCTTCGGGGTCTTTACCCCCATGGAGAAGTCTGCTTAAGAAACTGGCTGGGGATTTTGAAATGCTGGCGCTGTCTCAGCAGAATGGGACGAAAAGGGGTGGGCAGGCCCACTGAGGAGCACCACTGCTCCCTGTGCAGCAGTTTTGGGTGGCGCAGGGCTGCAGGATTCTGCCCCACCAGTTGAGGGAGCAGATTAGTCAGTCACAGGAACATTCCTGAGTCCTGCGGAGGCAACATTCCTGCCGGGAAGCAGCTACTGCTCTTTCCTATCGGGTAACAATTCCTTGGCCTCACTGCAGGGTAGGCAGTGTTCAGGCTTCTGGGAACCGCTTCCCTGGAACCTCAGCCACCATGCTGCTGAAATTTGGCAGTGTGATAGTGGCCAAAAACCAGCAGCTGACCATCATGTTGGCACTGGGAGTTGAGAAGGGTCCTTCTAGCTTTTGAACAAGACCCGTGGGGGGCACACAGTTTGTTTTAAAGCTAAAATTGGCCCTTTCTGGCCAATCAGTGATTTCATAGCAGATGAGGGACTTGTCAGTGTTTGTACTCAAGCTGTGCTTTTCAAGAGCTGCACCATGATTACAAACCACAGCTTTTTCCCTAGGGTGGCAAATTCAGCGGCAGTGGGGGGGGGGCAGCTGGGTGGTTGCCCACATCTACCTTACGAGGGAACAGAAGGAACAAAGCATTTAGGCTTCAGCATCTTGACCCCCGTCCAAGAGTCCAGCACTGTGCCTATTTTATAGAACTCCACAGCTATAGGGATGTTGAATGTGTCAGTAAAAGAATACAAAAAGAGGATTTTGTTGGCTCTGACCACTTCCTATTTTTCTACAAAATATTAGTCCCCAAAGTCCCAAAAGTCAGTTATACTATTCAGAATAATAATGTGCTTCTGTACAATTTTGCTGATGCTAAGCTCCTTTTCTTTGTAACACATTTAGAATATTGCACTGGAATAGCTGAATGCTAATTAACTCATTTCAATTATTTTTAACATTTCAGTCCACTCATATTGCCCGAGCCAGCTTCCAGGTTGATGCTTTTGGATCTTCCTTCATCTTGGATGTAGAATTAAATCAGTAAGTACAGAAATATGTTGATTGATACTTGATTTGTACACTGGTATTTGATTTTTAGTATTGTAGGTTCTAAGATCTGCCTTCTGCTCATGGAAGGTGCCTTCACCTGAATTTGGGGGATCCTCCTTGTTCTACCACCCCATTCAGAAGCATCCCCCATTCGGATGTGTATGGCACTTCCACAGTGCTGGAGCGGTTGCCCTGCGGAGGAAGGGAGCAGAGAAGTCTCTTTCCATTAGCCCAGTTGCATGTGCCAAGGCTGGATCCAACCAAACATATTCTGATATTTTCAAATATCGCATTGTTATTGCAGTCTTAATGGAGCTTGGCATTATCTCAGGCTTGTCAGTACTTGTTCACTTGTGTGAATTGTCAGATAAATTGATTTCAGCTGACCAGGCTGAAAGTGGAGTATTTACTAGTCAGAAATTACTGACAAAGTTAGGTTAGTAGGGCAGGGAGGCTAGCAAATTGTGAGCATGCTCTATCATATTTAAAAGTTTGTACTCAAATCCTGTAGGAAAGGGACTGTCTAAAGCAATCCTTTCTGTTACAAAAAGGGGCTTTTTACTTGGCCTCAGTTTTGCTAATAATTACCCAGGAATGTTTCTCATTCTGTCTGATATGTTGTATTCAGAAACCTGCCATGAAGTCCCCATGTCTGCGATATCACCATTCCCATGCTCCTTCTTCCATTTCATCTTAAGTAGCTTTATTTAAAAAATCTTTCCTCATCTCTCAGGTTAAATAGTTCTTTCAGCCATCTGGATTGCTTTGCTAGGTTGCAACCCAAACAGTTCTGTCTTTTTGGATTGGTTTGTACAAAACCGAAATCATGACTTATGAAGCTGGCTTGTTTAACTAGACCTTGTTTTGTACCATAAAATCTGTTTTTACAAAACAGTAAGGTAGGAATACTTGAAAGTAAAATGAAATGCAGGCAAAGTTGTTTCCTAGCCAACCTGGAACCGAGTTGTTTCTAGTTTGTGTACACTCTGCTAAACCATGGTCTGCATTAACTACAAACCAGCCTTTTAATTACCTCATAGATTGAAGAGTGGCCATGGCTTCTCCTGTTCATCCTTCTCCCAGGTCATGGCTTCTCTTATGGTGCTTTTCTCTTGGTCTCTTACCCCACATGGTTTTACTGTGCATATAGTGCATGAGGCGTGGGTAGAAGGAAGACCACAATATTGGGGGTGGGGAAGAGCCATGTCGACAGCCTCCTTCACAGTGTCAGCCTTGATCTGCAGGGTTCTGCAGAAAACAGCCACCATTACCTTGCCCATGGTGTGGGGTGGCTATTGAAGAGTACCTTTTAAAGCCGGACTATGGGCTTCCAGACACAGGTATAATGAAACTAACTAGCTGTACCCACTAATTGACATTCAAGAGTGTACAGGGCCTTGGGAAGGAGGAGGAAGTGAGGAGAAAGAGGAGACAGTCTGTTTTCTTTGTTTATGAATCTGGGAGGTGAAGTGAAGAAGTCTTGTACCAAATCATGCACTTGGTCATCTAATCTGGTGTTGTCTGTTCTAGGGATAACCAGCCTGGTGCCCTTCAGATACTATGGACTACATATCTCATTAGCCTTATCCAGTATAAGGGGTTATGGGAGTTGTAGACCAAAAATCTGAAGGGTACCAGGTTGTCTGTCTCTGGTATTCTTTGACAGCCAGTTGCTTTGCAGGATCTTAGGCAGGTCTGAGGGCTTTCCCATTACCACCTTTCTGATCCTCTCAGACAGAGATGCCAAGGATTGAAACTGGTGCCCTTTTCTTGTGCTATTTGAAACAATAAGTGGAAGAAAGGAGTTTCCTGTCTTAAGAGCAGGCACATCTCAGATTCAAGGCACAGAGAAAAGGGTACTAATATTTGGTGCTTTCCTGACCTCGGATGACAGCTGGCATGGGCACAAGGGGCCCGAGCTCTGATCCCAGCTCTCAGGGTGGAGTCCTGTTTCTGAACTATGCCCCCTCAGACAATGTCCAGAGGCCATAGGACCATTCCTTAAAACAGGAAGTAATAACATTAATATTAAAATAACAGTGTCATATAAAACCATTGTTAAAATATAGTGTCATAAAGTCTGTCTTGGATGAGGAAAATGTAGATGCCCAACACATGCAATGAATTTCAGTCAGTGAGAAATTGAACTACAGTAACTGAAACATGGTGTTTCATTTCCTGTCATCAAATTTCAGAAGAACTGCTGCTATCTTGTGTTGCTCTGTTGAATGTAGCTAAGGTACTTTGAGAGGAAAAACACTACTCATGTTTTGCATGGTATGAATGGTAAAAATAATAGTAATAATAACAATAATAAATGCAATCAGTGAAACTTAATTTTTGCATTCTGCTGGTAAAGAATGAAATCCCATTCTTTACTTGGTATAACCTTGTAGAATTATTTGTTGCAGAGGGGCAAATGACATCTTGCACGATTGGGGAGTTTTGGTATCCCCTTTGATCATCAGTGTGCATTTTCTGAATTTAATGCAAAGCCTGTGTAAAACTAACAGAAGGTTGGATATTTTGCCTTAATATCTTGCATGTGGAACAGGTGAAATGTTCCTTTCCTAGATGACTGAGGATTAGAACGTGATTTGAAGCTGGATGCAGGTATGCACCATTATTGCTAAGAAGTGCTTCCAGTTTGCAAGAAAACAGATGTGAGGGGAGGGGGGTTAATTAGACTGCCACTTCACTGCTTATGTGATACATCTGGAAATCAGACTGACTTGGCCTGGTTGTACACAGTAAGTTGATCCAAAGGAACTGAAGTGGCCACATTGTGATGCCAAAGGAGAAAGGTCAAATGATGCCTCCGTGTACAGTAAAAACATTAAGCAAAAATACACGGAACAGATGATTTTGGAGTCCTGAGTACTCATTTGTTTATTGCTTTTAATTAATAGGCAAGTTATAAACTCTGCCTTAAGTTTTCTTATGACTTTTATGTCTTGTAAATTGTAAATGAAAAGCATATTTTAAAGTTTGCCCTGAAATACTTAATGGCTTAAATGAAGGTGGGAATGCAGCTGCAGCAACACAAAGAGAAATCCATTGTTAAGTGGCTCCATTGCAGTCAATGGACCAATATTAATGGGGCGTGTGCATTGATCCTGGGTGTTCGTTCTACCAAAATTTTATTTGGGATCGTTTGAATTTCACACTAAATTTCTGTTCCTTGCCAATGCAATACATAGTTATCTGGTTACACTGTTGGAAAACAGATAAGTTTAGAAAATACTGTTATTCATGCATGTCTACAGGTAATATCCAAAACTGTGCAAACAGTTCACAAGCTTGTGCAATGGAACTTTCCCTCCATAGCTCTTCATACCCTCCTGTATCTATGAATGTAGTTAGTACATGGTCCTTGGGCTGATGATAACCAGTTAAAAAACTACAGTGCCATTTAGTGCTGTGAAAAACTATAGAATACTACACAAATATTTATTTATTTATTTGTCGATTTCTATCCTACCTTTTTCCTACAAAGGGCTCAAGGCAGCTTACATCTCCTCCTCCATCTTATCCCCACAACAACAACCCTGTGAGGTAGGTTGGGCTGAGAGTCTGTGACTGGCCCAAAGTCACCCAGTTGGCTCTATGGCTGAGCGGGGACTAGAACCCAGATCTTCTGAGTCCCAGTCCCATGCTCTTAACCACTACGCCACACTGGCTCTCTAGCAGCAATATTAAACAGCAATGTCATGAAAACCAGTCAGTAGCACAGGAATGGGTCAAACAGCTATAATAACCCAGAACCTAATAACCTAACCTAACCCTGAAAGCCCCCCAGTGTGAGTCATGCTGTGTGTTCATGAGTGGTCCAAGGCATCCTCATGTTATCCAAATGCAGCATCTGGGCATATGCCAGAGGTGGGCAAATTGTGCCCCTGCAGGTGTAGTTTGGCTGTTGATGTCCCAACTCCAGTTATAGCCTGCAGTCACAGAATATGACCATATCATATACATGAGCTTATTAAATGGGGCTAAACATTAATCATGTTTAGAGCAGACACAGAAATCCACGGGGCAAAGAAATTATTACTAATTTAAGTCTTCCTTATTTTGACGGATCTAATCTAAGCATGACTAAATCTGAACCCAGTCCAGAATGTCTGCAGTAGAGTCCACATGGACTCTTGCCTCATCACCCCAGGCACATACTCTCCATGTGTGATGCAAGACCAAAACAAGCAGTGACTCAATAAAGAACTTTATCCAATTTTTGTAAACAGCTTGCTTAAGTTCCACTAGAATTCTTTGGACACTTTCATTTTGGAACATCTTTGCCTCTTGTGGATAACAGAACTTTTAATTATTCTGGTATTCTTGGATTTCTAAGATTCTTTGATTTTTATCCAGGAACACAAGCTTCCAAGCTTCTCAGGGCTGTGCTTCTCACTTTTTATTAAGGAACAACAGAATATTGCTATCGGTATTCTCCTGTGCTACCATTAATCTGACTGTATTTGTAGATTTGTGTTCTCAACTCTTTCTTTCCCCCTCAAATATTTCTTTTCCCCTGACAGCTATCTTTGCTTTAGTTCAAAGATTAATTTTGTCCTAAGGGGGTATTTCTGTAGATTTTACTACTTATATAGGCATTGTTGCAAACATATAATGTAGCTTTCGGTAAGCTGATTTTGAAAGACTTAGGGCTTTATATTTTAACTCTTTTTCTCTTATAGAATCTGCTCTGTAACAATATGGCCACCATAAGTAATCCTGCTTGCTGTACTAACAATAGGTCTACAATTTAACAAAAGATCTTTGCCACAATTGCTGTTTTGGTGAAGAGACGCTTTAACAGGGAATATGGCTGCATAGCCTTCCTATTTATGCACTTTTGCCAGTGCCAGATGTTGTTTAAATATTATTGTTTAAAATTGAATCACAAACTAGGTGCTGTACCCTAATTGAATTAAAAAGAACAAACTCTGCCCATAGGCTTGCAATTTAAAATGTGGCATTTAAGCTTAAATGAC